CATGTCTTTAGTGGCCACTTTGTGGAATACTTTGCCCATCTTAGTTAAGACATGTTTAGCGTTACTTTGTACAAGAAGAAATGACGAATTCAGAATTATTGAAACATAAAAATAAGTCATGAAAAAATAGCATGAGTCTTATCAAACCATACAATCCTCTTGATTTTTATATATCTCCCATTGGACACTAATGCTGAGGTCACCTTTCCAAACCGTGGGGCAGTCTTGAAGAACGGAAAAGAGACAAAAAGCTCCAAAAAGTTGAAAACAGATGTATATTGTAACTAGAGTTCGACAATCTCATACCTCCATGACATGTTAAATGCTTTCGTAAAGCTTATGCATAGTGATGATCACATAAATGGCTTACATTTACAATCCTGCTCATCAGCAAATTTTTTATACAAATTATTCACATAGCCCCTACCTAGTAACATACAACACACTGGTGAAATCCTTCCCATTTAACATAGACAACGTATGATATTGTTAACGTTGGTTATATGCAAGTATGACCTCTGACATACCTTTGTCAACTCATCGTTTGCCATTCAAGCTGACGAATTATACATTTTTTACTGCCAATATGCAAATTATAAGAGTCCATTTGCACATATTATATCATTTGATCATATTCTCCGCCCAATGACAGGGTTATCTTAAGAAGTAAGGCTATTCTAGCGTTTCCTCATAAATTATGCAAATGAGGTCCTGATTTGAATAAATTATGTTTAGTGATGTTCGCCTTAATTGAACTTCCAAGTATGGCAAGTATTAAATTCACAGCAGTTACCACCATTAAATTGTACCAATTTGCCATTAATAATGCAAATTATATCTTCATTTACATAATCAATATCTACCAATGATCTTGTTGTTCTCAATTACATATGTCTAAAGTGTTTCATAGCCCTAATATGGAATACAGCAGATTTATAGAATTTCCTCATTAATTATGCAAATTAGATCCTGATTTGCATAATTGTATTTTAATCATGCCAAGCATCACTTAAGCTACCTACATACCAAAAATCGTGACGATCCATCTAACAGTTGTTCAGTTATCCTCTCTCGAATATTTTGAAAGAAACCATCCTGCAGTTCTAGAACAAGCGGCTAGGGGGCCAAAACTCACGTGACTTCTTCCCAAGCACGAGAGCTATCTATCATCCAAATTTCATGACCCTGGCATGTCCAGATCGCGAGATATCAAAACCGGAAGTTGCGCTGCAGTACCAAGGGAAGCCACTAGGGGGCCCAAAATCTAATCATTTCCAGTTTTCGTCACACCCTACCAACACACCAAGTATGAAACCAATCCATCCAGGCGTTCTTGAGTTATCTTGTTGACCAACAGACGGACAGATTAACGCAACTGAAAATATAACCTCCATGACACATTTCATGGAGGTAACTATTCTGGTGGGGTCATGTGGCGTAACGGTAGAGTGTTCGGCTCAGACCCAAGTGGCCCCTGGTTCGAATCCTGCTTGATGCCATCGATCTTGTGTCCTTGGAAAGGCAATTTACACATACGGCTTTCCTTACTTCGCTAGGGTGTAAATGAGTACCTAGCTTCGGTTAGGGACGTCCCTCCGATAGGACGTTAAATAGAGGCTGTGTTTCAGAGAGCCACATCCGACGCACGTTAGAGAACCCACCGCACTTATCGAAAAGAGAAGGGGACCTTCCTGATGTGAGTAGTTCGAAATTACAGTTCGGTCTTACGCAGCTAGCTTGTACTTTAGTGTCATGTACTTTTTATTATAGTACGGTCCAAAAGTGGTCAGTTATTTTAATAACCGACCACGTTTGAGGTTACGGCCTCATAATGGAAAATAGAGCCTTCTTATTGGTTGATATCTTCTGACTATCTAATAATGTCTGTTATGCCTACGTCACAATTCAAAACCGAGCCTGTCTGTTTTTTTACACTATCGGTCGGGACCCGGACTTAGAATCACCCTGACGAAAAAAAAAACAATACGTCGGGACGAGGCCGTAACCTAATTATGACCATGACAGCCAGCGTCCGCCCAGCTTCATGACGCCGGCTGGCGTCTAGATCGGGAACATGCAGCTCGGGCCCCGTTGGAAATGTGACTTCGGCATTAGGAATACTGACTTACGAACAACTGCAGGTTTAGTACACCTTTATGCTACATGGGCTCATAACAGTGACTTACCACAGCCCTCCTCATCGCTCCTGTCCGTGCAGTCTGCGATCCCGTCACAACGCTTCCAGGATAGGATACAGGCAAGTCCGTGTCCACAGCGGAAATGTCCCAGAGAGCAGCTGATTGCTTTACATGTAAAAAGTTCATAAACATAAAGTTCTTAAAAAGGACTTATGCAACATTTTTGCATTTCATTTGAAAAAAAAAGGTTCTGTGATTGTAATTTACTTCCACTTTACAACATGTGCACATTGATGACATGTATGATTAGTGCTAAAACAGTCCGCATAAAGCGCAAACTTTGCGGTACCACCACAAACAAACATGGCTGTGTTTCCAACTGCTGAACACACTCGTAAGGCGTCATGTTTTTTTTTGGGGGGGGGGCTGCTCTTCTAAATTGCACTTATTTACAAATGGATCCAGAGTAGGGTCTTCAATTGAATTACCAGAATTTTTTTATCGTCCAAATGTTACATAATGTAGCTTTAAGATTTTTGAATGGATTCTGCTTTATCTGAAGTTAAGACTTTTGGGTGAGCCGGGTAACTCAATCCGTTTAGCCAAGGGTTGAATTGTGGGGAGCTTACAAGTTTTGGGGCTTAATTGAAAGTGTCTGGAGTTGCTGACATTCGGCGCTAACTCAGGTGACGTCAATACGACCCCAGGTACGGCTAAAACAAAACATAGCTTTAGGCTCCATTCCCACTACTGTAAAATAATCCGAATGGACCCGAATAGATAGCTAACAAAATCGATCATGACTACGACTGCATTCCCACTATGGTAAAATTGTCCGAAGTGATTCGCTTTGATCCGGCTTAAAGCAGGATCGAGCCGGATCAAAGCCGGATCGAAGCCGGATCAAAGCGAATACATACGGCTCGATCCGGACTGTTTTACCCTTGTGGGAATGGGGCCTAATTGACCACAGTTGGAACACTCCTGATCCGGTTCGATTCCACTTGATCCGGATCTTCAACAATCAACTTTGCGAGATGGATTGAATCCCGATCGAGCCTGATTAAGCCGGCAGTCGTCTTTGATGAAACGCTCACCGGATCAAACCGGTTTGGTTGATAGGCTTGGTGACGTCAGGCTTCCAGGTTCACGGGGTCAGCATACGAACAGTGTGGAGATTTCTACCCCATTTTTACGCTTATCTTTCCCAGTCGCCGTTTAACTGAAGCTCAATGCACTCAATACTTCCAGCACACCATTTTTAAGAGATAAATGGCCACAAGGAATCGCCAAAATACGCCCACCATGTTCAACCCCTAATCTTCAATAAGAGGCACGGCAGTTTTTTTGTGAAACTACAGCTTATCCAGCTCTAACCGGTTTGAGTGGGAACGCAGGCGCGGGACCAAGCCAGCTGTAACTTCCCTGTATGTGTAAACGCGATCCGAATCAGCAATTCGATACGATACGATATGATAAGATACGATATGATACGATACAACAGGTATCCCAGTGGGAAAATGGCCTAGCCTAAGTTTGGGATTTGAAGAAGACATGCTTATCTATTTATATTATTTTAATATAACCACATGTATGTGAGGAGTAACATAATTTAGAGACTTCGGATTCTAAGTGAACAACGGTTACCTTAAGTACAAGACAAATAAAATAAAATGAAAAATACAATAAACATAAGGCGTGCATTTGATAAATCCTTTACGAGTGCAACAAAGGAACTGTAGTTTTGATGATGTTAATATCATAGAACATTATTTGACAAACCTTCATTCAGCTGGCAGATAAACTTGTAAGCAGAGGAGCACGGTGCGTCATTCCACCCTGATCCATAGTAGTTCGCACAGTTTTCTCCGTCGTTACCGTTGGGTTCTCCCGGCTGCCAGCGGTTCCAGTCGGTACTGATGTCGTGTGGAGTCCCGTCTTCCCACACCCACTCACCTTCATTGTTCCCATCATTTAGACCAAACCAGAAATGTGAGATTTTATTCACGGCGTTCTTCAGCTCTCTCACGAAGTTGTCCACGTCTTTGCCCTTCGGCATGGCCAGGAGCGCCCCGTCCGCTGCACACACCTCTCTGGCCTGGCTGTAGGTTTTGTCTTGGTCGTACGCCTTGAAGCACGCACCCCCGTATGTAGTATAGCCAGAGGGACAGCCTGTAGAAATATGATACAAAACGGTATAACTGGGCCTTTCATTTGACATTGAGACTTTGCTAGTTAACTACTTGTACACTAAGTCCCACTCTGGAGTAATAATATGAACTTTAATTTGAAGTACCTATGCATCGTTAACGCAAGCACGTGCAACCTACACTCTCAAGAAATTCATTGTACTTTCAATAAGTAGACTAACTCTGGTTGAGATATTTTTTCACAAGTATGCATTTTTTTACATTATGAGATAAAAGAAATCATTTTAGGTGCTCCGGGGCATCAGAGACATAAGTGGTCGAAGGGTGCAATCTATCTGAATATTCCTTTATAAACTAAATTACAGAATAAAAAAAAACTGTACATGACGGGGACTACTTTAGCTTATTAACGTGATCACGTATGCAAAACATCAAAGCCTACGTGATACTAATACGTGACAACTGATTGGTCGGTTTTGTTTTGAAGACGAGGCACCAGACAATATTCTACTCACAGCTCAGTCCATCCTCCTGCAGTTCCCAGGAATCCCGACAGGCGCACGTTCTTCCCCCCGGATGCGCAAGGCAAAGCTCCTGACATCCTCCATTGGACGAGGAACAGGCTGACATACGGATACATGAGTAAGTTAAGATTCCTGATATGATTGTGTAAAAACAAATGATCAAACAGTCCAGTGGTAAAAGGACGTTGCCACAGATTGCAAGGTTTTTGCAGGTAAAAATATACTTTACAGCTGACAGCTTAAGTTAGCAGAGGCTATAACAGCTAAGTATTTATTCACTAGCTACATGTATTGTTATCAACAATGAAAGTTGCTTTGCACAATATATGAATGATTAAGGCATTATTGCCCGTTTTAATGTAACCCAATCATTTTATTTCATTAAATTTATTTCGAGCCTTTTAGCCCTGCAGGGTTAATCTTCCAAGTCTCAAAGATTGCAATTACATAATCACACCCATGGAAAATACAGTGAATACATTTAAAAATACATCAATAAATTAAAACGTCAACATTTTATATAGGCAATTTATGTATCATGTATCAACTTATTACTTATTATTATATAGGCAGATGGCGTCGACCAATCAAAAGGCACCATTTCACATTCATTATCAGGCCAAAAACCTTAACAGTGGACGTTTTGTTCAATTTAAATTTTAATACCGACCCCTTTTTGGACCGTACAATTATACAGAGCACAGGACAATAACAGTATTCTTACGACTTGTAATATTTATGTATTAAAAACGTTGTGTAGTTTATTTTGAACAATTAAATGACATACGGACTAAATGATTTGGAACAACAAAAATAAAAAGATATAAATGACATTTTAGCAGAAAAAAAAAAAACTTTTTGACACCCCCACTTAAAACGGTACTGTCCCAATGTAACTTGGTGGCCTCATCAGATGATGTCTGTATTGCCCATCTTTTTTCTTTCGGCAAGAGAGGAATTTTTCAGCAATGAAGGAATTTTAAACAGGAATCTGTGTCAAATGACTGTTTTAGTCGGATAGGCTATCGTGAGATAGATATATATTAAGTTACTTAAAAAAAGTCCAAAGGAGCTCGCGGGCAAACATTGCCCGAATTACGTCCTCGTTACATAATTCATGAATCACTGTACACATCACAAAATTGTACATTACAAGTAACGTTACACGCAGAATATCTTGAAGAACAGCATCTCAAATTACAACCTAAATCGATCCATAAAAGCAAAGCGAAGACACTTAGCATTACATATATACAAACTAATTACTGTATTTTAAGTGTTGGTCTGTTGTTGTCTCCGCGATGCCTTGCTTGTCATGGCGGTGACTTGCTCGCTGAATGAAAGGTTTCTATCCAGGATGAAACCAAGTCCCTTCGCCGATCCGACCGATGGCACAGGTTGGCCGCCCAGGGTGATCGATGGAGGAATGGGAACAGATTTACTGAAGCAAATCTGTAGAAGCTGGCTCTTGGAACTATTCAGGATCATCCTGTTTCCTCCGCCCAGCAGTCAAGGTGAGAAGTCTCCTCCGCCACGGTTGTATCTAGGTCGGCTGTGGGTACAGCAAGAGTTCTTGAGAGACCAACGTCGTCTGCATACCCAACGTTCGTGGTGTCATGATGTACAGTGGTGCGCGAACTCATAAAGAGTAGAAACAGGTAGGGAGAGAGGACTCCGCCCTGTGGCACACCTGACGTTAGGGTACGCCAGGCGCTGGTCTCGTCATCCAAGACCACTCTCTGGCGGCGGTTCTGAAGGTAGCTGAAGATCCACCTTTGCATACGTGGGCTGACCTGAATGTCCATCACACGTCCACGCTCACTCTGTGGTTTATCCGGTGGTTATACCAGGGATTATCTCGGGGCGGGGCATTAACACATTACCATCCTTTGTAACTTCGTACATTGTGTCCTGATTTGTAATGTGTAATTATGGGTTCACCACACCACGAAGTGGTGGTGAACCCATATTGCTTTTTCTGATGTTTCTTCTCCTCCTCCTTCTTCTCCTGCCATTTTTTAAATGGATTCAGCTTCTTCATTTTTGGGCCCAAGGTCCTGAAATTTGGTATGGAGGTACAGTGGGCAAATACCCCTAGGCGTTTTTTAAATTATTGTGATACAGGCTTTTAGAATGGTTTTATTTGAGTTTTTTGGCTGTGTTATATCAAATGTATTACTGTGTTAGTGTGCCTTGTTTACCACGTTTGGGCATGAGTCATCACAATGGAATGCAGGGCATCAACCAATAGGCATGCAGCTTTCCTCTATTCTTCTTGCTGATTGGCTGTTGGGATTTAACTTGATCAACACCTGCACAGAGCATTTCCACCTGCACAGAGCATTTCTTGCTGATTGGCTGTTGGGATTTAACTTGATTAACACCTGCACAGAGCATTTCCATACTGACAGTATGTCTGTATTCAAGCGTTTTGGTAGGTATTTCAAGCTTTCCTGCTCCAGCATTGGAATGCGGGGCATGGACGTTTTTTTTTTTTATTTTGAAAATCAACAGTTTGCATTATGCAATTAAAAATCCTAACCAATAAAGTAGGAATTGCTATCCAACTGTTGTTTTAGTTGTATTTTACTTCATATTATAGTTATATCAATGTAAATCATAATGATTGTTTTCCCTTGTGTTTCTCATTCTTTCCCTGCCATGTCGTAAAATGTGGTGAACCCATCGCTGTATTTGCTCCAAAGCAAATATTGGCCTTGCTAGTTTTTATTGAAGTTTCTCCGCAGCTACCCATCCACATTTATTCAAGTCAGGTCAAAGTCAAAGTTCTTAGTACAAAAACTGTAACAGGCACAAAGTAAGACCAATTGTTGTACAGGACTACTAACTATTTAACCCTATTCTGACCATGTACCAGCTGCAGGCTTTTTGGTCGTACTGCGACCGGGGTGGGGGGCCTTTAAGGTCAACCCCCTGTAACTCAACAACCACGTATCGTATGGTTACTAAATTTTCAGAGAATGGTGTAGTAGTAAAATCAAAACAAAACGACAACTTTAATAAAATTTGGTGGAATTGTGGCGTCATATGACGTCGATATGATGTCATTTATGTAATTTTTGGGGCCTATTTAAGCTGTTGGCCACCTTTGATCGTCAATCTTGAATTTTTTAACTAACTGTCTTTAGTTCTTGGGAGAAACACGACCCGCGCACTAATTTTTTTCAAGATACAGCCTCAAAACGCAATGTAAATAAACTATTCTACAGATGTTCATATGGGCGGTTTATGTAAAAAAAATCGGAGTTGTGGTGAGAAATTTAGGACAAAAACGAGGTTACACCAGAGCTAATGTTATGTTCCACCATCTTGAATTTTGACGCATGACATCATCAATTTTGACGCATGACGTCATAAATCATGAATATTTCATAAAAATTGCCTTTCAGAAACCCATTGCCATGGCAACACGAAACTCCATTCTTACCTAATCAATATGAAATTTTTGCCTGAAATTATAGGGAAAATTACCAAATTCAACGGTTCTAGCGCAAGCCATCCAGGCACTACGTGAGAGTTAAAGTTGGCGCGGGCGGCAAAAGCCACCCCCGGTCTAAGAAGGGTTAAAGCGTTGTTATAATAAGACTACCAGATAATTACTACAAACTAGTACAAGTTACATGTCGATTTTATCCCATACATTATGGATAGCAGATACATTACAAACTGTGAGGTACATAGTTTTAAAAGACTAGTAATACTTCTGGTAAAATCTGCACATAAATTGATAAATAGATTAAGACACAATGATGAATTGTATGATACATAATACACCTAAGTCGCTATTTTACTATTTTTGCAATGATATATAGATGTATGGACTTGATGTATATAGATAATTGTGTCAGGACGTAGCATAAGAGCATCGACGTCTCTCTACTTGTCTTGTGTATGTCAACCTTGTATGGCATTTAATTATCTAATTTCTCATTCGTTATCTGGACATGTCAACAAGAAACGGTACTTATCTTCATATTGCACCGATGAAATGTACATTTACTACCTTTATTACGGTGATTATATCCCAATTATCATAACCCCTTATTGACAACTTCCCAAGCTATTACCACACAAATGCATAAAATGTGTCTACGGATTAAGAAAAAGAAGAAAAATCGTTTCTAGTACTGTAAAATTTGGACATGTCAACAAGAAATAGTATTCATCTTCATATTGCACCATTTACTACCTTTATTACGACGATTACATCCCAATTATCATGACCCCTAATTGACAGCTTCACAAGTTATTACCACACAAATGCATAAAATATAGATTAATGTAGTGTGCTTAATTACTGATGACATATTGAAATGAAACTTTACCAGAGGAATCAACTTTCACAATCACATATCAAATATATGTAATTTGTGTTCATATAACCATATTTGATGGAGGTATGAGATCTCCGAATTCTTGTTAAGGTAATAATACTATGCTCTTTAAAAATAACACTAACAGTAACACTGTTACACAGACACGCACATGCCACCGGAAATATAACCTTCCTGGCAAAGGTAATTACCATTGGTGACGTTAGGAGGCGACGCCGTGGACAGGAAGATGTCATGTGGAAACTTCAGGCCATCAACCAGAACAGTCTGATTCATGCTGGACTTGGATAACCTGGAGTTGTGATATATATTATGTCATCAATTTGTTACACAAGAATACTAAAGGGTAAATGCAATAACTGTACAACTACAATTACATTCGCATTCTTCTAAAATTATCCATGATAACTACAGTTTTGTACGAGAAAGTTTAAATATACGAAGGGAATTTTCTTGCCTTATGACTTCACCAGTCCAGAAATGTGTCCAGTAGATGTAATCAGCACCAACCGCTATCCCTCTGACATCTCCCCCGTCTTTAGGCTTAACAAGTTGTATATTGTTGCCGAGCATGTCTGAGCTGTAGATTGCGCCGATATCGGAATAGTACAACCGATTCTCTAAGTGGAAGTAAAACTCTTTTTAAAACAGAAACACATCCAGATTACCGTCAAATCATAACCTGCATGATAATGCTGTTGTTCATGTTTAAGCAAAGTGCCAATATAGAATAAATACTGCAGAGGACACAAAAAACATATTAGCAATAATGATTAAATAGATAGTTTAGATGCGAGGTAAGCAATGGTAAGTCAAATTAGTTTATTAGTTGATGAGATCCAGCATTATTCGTCGTGTACACATTAACTAACATAAAGTAAAAGGAGTTAATATCTATTGTTCATTGAGCCCTATTCAGGCCAGTCCGATGTAGCTCCTACCCATGTAACCCCACATTTTCAGAGTTTCTGGTTTAACGTTTGAGAGAAACATTCATTAGTTTAAAAGGAAAATCGTTTTCTTAAACATTTTGTATTATATACGAAATCACGTTTCAGCAGTTAAGTAGTTATCTACCTCTTCTTTTTCCCTAATGTTGCCATCACGTGACGTTCTAATAACGTTTTGGAGGGCAGACGACACAATTAATTCACTTGTGTCCTGTTTCAAACATGTCTGTTTAAAATATAAAGGCTGTAACTAGCTTTAGTTGGACCTTTTTTAGATCACACCATCTAGTCGTAAAGATGAAAACATGGCGTCCCCTAATCACAGTTTTGACCCTACAGATAAAAGGAATACACTACAAAAAGGAGGGAAAATATGTATAACTTAACCACAGCAGTATTATAACAAACTTGTCCTTTGTTACCAGGACGTTTCTCTATTGCTTGTTTTCTCACCTGTGTAGTCTATTGTAATGGCCCTGGGATCAGTCAGGTTCCTGATGATAGTAGTCTGGTTGCTGCCGTCCATCGCTGCTCGGTCAATACCGGGACTGTTCACCCAGTACATGAGTCTGCGAAAAATAATACACTATATGAATATACATAGCCTCAGTTTATCTGAGATGTCAATAAAGAGCAGAATAAAGAAATAACTCGGCACCATGGCGGTCTGTCACTACGGCATTCTTTCCCATTGCTGGGGTGTTCGATAAAGTATCGGGTTACAAGACGCAATTTTGGGCTAACCGTAAAACAATTGAAAATAAACAAACTAGTATCGAAGGGAAAATTTCGTTGTAATAAAATTGTCGTCTTTACATACATTCAGTGGTGTATTTGCGCAAAATGGATGATTTTTTCGGATTTCGTAAAAAAAGGTGATAATTTTCGGGATTTCGCATTGCCATATTTTAGCCAATCACCGAGCAAACCTGTCAATCAATCAATCAATCAATAAATAAATCAAGTGGTTTATTGATAAAACGAGGAATTTGCAACCACAGGCTGAATTACATCCTGTTGTACAATTAATTCATTTTAAAATTCATTAGTATACAGTAAAAATCATCATAGTTATCTACAATTATTAGCATTAAAACTTGGTTACACATTAAGATCTAAAACACTGATTGATTTATAAAATTGCTACAGGAGGGACAACATTACTTTGACGTTCACTTAACAGACATTACATACAGATAACAACTCATGTACTTATAGATGATTATTTAAAAGGGATATCATATATGGGATACTGCTGTTCTTATAGCGTTCGGTTCTAGCCTTGGGACAGTCAAGTAGATTGCTGGAGCGTGTGGTTCGTCCAGTAGTGTTCCCACGTGTGGGTGGTAGCCAACTGCGGAATTCTTTAGAACTAACAAGTTTCTTAGCTAAGTCTAGAGTGAGGTCGTCTCGTCGCTGTTCAAGTGTAGGTATGTCCAGAGTCATGCAAGCCTCGCGATACAATGTATAGGCTGGGCCCAGGATTATTCGACACGCCCGTTTCTGTATGAACTCAATTCTGCGTCGCTGTTTGATGGTCAGTCCTGCATGCCAGGCGGGCGCTCCATACTCACAACTTGGGCGCACAAAAGTTTTGTAACAGGTAAGTAGGTCATCGCGGGATAGACAGAATTGTTTGAGTTGTTTTAGCATAAATAGTTTTTTGTTGCCTTGTTTGACGATATAGTCCACATGTGCAGTCCAACCGAGATCGGTCTGGAGGTACAGACCGAGCAGTTTCACTGTCTTCACCTCAGCTAACGGTTCACCGGCGATGGAAAGGGTTGGTAGTGGTGGCGGTGTATTTAGGAAGCACACGTGCATGACTTTGCACTTTTTTGGGTGTAGCTGCATGTTTCTTGATGTTGCCCATTCGTCGAGGTGGTCAAGGTCAGTTTGTATAGTAGACGCGTCCCCGATCATCCTGCTCTCAGCTAAGTTAAGGTCATCAACAAATTTCCATCGCTTAGCTGAGGCGTACTCACATGCGCTGTTTATTAAGGCGAGGAAAACCAGGGGTCCAAGGACGGTTCATTGTGGTAGCCCGCAGCTGGTCTCCCTCCAGTCCGAGTAAGTTCCCTTGTATGACACTCTCTGCTTTCTGGCGGTGAGAAAGGAACATAACCATCGAGCTAATGAGCTTCTTAGACACAACTGGAGTAGGCTTGAGACGGCTAAAGTATGATTGACCCGGTCAAATGCTTTAGCGAAGTCGGTTGTGACCAATGTTGTGATTGTTCCTCTCTTGTCTGCAGTCTTGGCCAGTTTTTAACTATGTCTACGAGACAATGTGTTGTTGAACGTTCGGGATGACATCCAAACTGGTTTGGGTCAATCATGGGTTTGATGTCGGTATATAGTTGTGATGAAATAAAGGATTCAGCAACCTTGGATAGAGTAGGTGTCAGGGATATGGGCCTTAGGTCATTGATGGACGGCGGGCGCGTTTTGGGTAAAGGTACAATGTTTGCCTGCTTCCACTGTTCCGGGACAACCCCCTCACATGGTGTGGCGTTCAGAATGGATGCTAATGGTGTTGAGATTTCGTAGGCAAAGCACTTGATGATCCTATTGGGGAGTCCATCTGGTCCCGCAGCCTTTCTTACTTTAATGCGTTGTAGCCTATCGTACACTTGCCATGGTTGTATCTCGTCTACAGGTCTTGACGGGAAATATGAAGGCAGACCGGTTGTGTCCAGAGGGTCTAGTGAGCACGTGATGGTGCACAGAGCGTCGTTTACTGCATTGGCGATGGCCTTGTTGTCCTCAGGTGGCGTTCCATCGACGTGGAGAGTGAGTCCAGCTCCCTGCGTGTTAGTCATGGCCTTGATCTGGTGATACCATTTTGAGGGGTTTTCTTTTTTCATATTCTTCACTTTGTTTTTATAGATGTTTTCCTTTGCCTTTTTGATTTCTTGTTGTACTTTGTTACGGAGTGACTTGTACTTGTCATGATCTCGTGCCTTAAAAGCTTGTTGTCGATGTTGGATGAGGGTCTTAATTCTCTGACTCATCCAAGGTTTGTCGCTGGTATGAAGTTTGATAGTTTTTAGAGGAAAGTACTGGTCGATCTTGTCGTGTATTGTCTGGTAGAAGGCGTCTGTCTTTGCCTGAGCACTAATGGCTGATAATACTTCAGTCCAGTCGTGACGTACCAACCATTGGCCGAATAATCTGATGCTCGAATCAGGCATAGGTCTCACTATTTTGGTCCTTTTTCTGTCCACGTTACCTTGGACTTTAGGCCGTAGGCTGAGGATGGCGTGGTCGCTTGAGCCTAGTAGTGGTAGCAAGGAGGGTCGAAGGTACATGTGCCCAAGGTTAGTGATAACCAAGTCCAAGGTGGCGTCCAATCGTGTAGGTACATCCACAACTTGCTGAAGCTGGTTACCGCGACAGAGATCTTGGACGTCAGCACGATTAAAATCCCCGGCAATGCAAATTCCCACATTAGGAGTGTCGGATCGTATTTGATCAACTACAGTGCACAGGTGATCGATCATAGCGTTACTTTGTGGAGATGCTGGAGGAATATATACTGCACATACCACGATGTTAGGCACTTGTCTGGGAAGGCGAGAAGGACGGGTCTTGATCCACAGCCACTCGAGATCATCAGGGACGGTGGCGTCGATAACACTGGCATGAATGTTATGGCGCACGTAGACTGCGACTCCTCCCCCATTTCTGCCGCTGCGTGGTTTCGAAAAGAGGTGAAAGTTATCGATGTCCCACTGTGCGTCAGGTAATTCCGAATCGAACCATGTCTCGGAAACAATGGCAATGTGGACGTCCTTTGTGTGTAAGATCACTTGGAATTCATCCATCTTATTTCGCAGTGAGCGGGCATTACATATCAGAATGTTCGCCATGGGGAAGAGCTTGATATGATTACCGCCACTTACCGCTGCCGCGTCCAATGGTGGATCATCCTTCCTGATTGCGTTGACATTAATCAGATAGCGATGATGCCTTAATTGCATGTGAAGCCTGTATCAGGTTGTTGACGTGGAAAACGATGGCCTACAATTGTGGAAATCTTACGTGGAAAATGTCTCCCCGCCTTTGTCCCCCGTGGTCTGCTTCGCATCTTGAGGATCCCATTCATGAGCAGTCTTTCCTTAGCCTGGGGGTCAATCCTGGGGACCACACGTCTCAGGTTCCGGAGAGAGTCCGTAGAATACCGGAGGATGTTGGACGGCGCCATTAGTCACACTGCTCTACACTCAGTCGGCGTCGAGATAGTCGATTTCGCTTCAGAATAGTTCTTTAAGGTCTCCCAGCTGATAGTCTACAATCCACGGTCACTTACAACAATCACAGTAACATGTATATTGCACATGGCTACACATATTACGCATGATCACTGATTTTCATATTTTTCGACGACTTGGAATAAGATAAAAAAAATCGATTTTAAGTATAGTTTTTGTCGACAAATAGGTGAAAAGAAATCGAATATTTGGGCTTTTTTCGCACTCAATAAGGCCAAACTGACTTAATTTCTTGGATGACATCCTCTGGGGACCAGAGAGGGCTAAAAAAATCCAGCAAAAAAAAAATCGCTGCTTAACCACAGGAATACAAAGCCGATGTTGCGGATTGAACCACAGGACACAGACTGCATCAAACCACCATTTGTTAGAGGGACCTTTTTTGACATCAAAGTTGGTCTTTGTACCTGGCATGTACTGCAGCAGCCATTGCGAGAACGGTAACCTTGTCTACTGGGTGACCAGCTTTAGCCCTGTACTTCGCGTACTGCACTACCGTCTCCTCCTCCTCTTTACACAACAGATAGGGGCGTCCATTTTGGCGTCCAGGGCGCTTTTGCCGCACATTTTTTCAACAATTGTTGAAGGTGGTATTCCGTATTTTTTGGAGGCGTTTGTTGGGGTCATTCCGTTTTCTTTTATGTCATGAAGGAAATCTTTTATAAGGGCAGGGGGCCACGATTTTTTTTTTGCCTTTTGACCTCCATTGCTAACGAAAAAAAAGGCCGTGCAATAAGTTCTTCAGAAGCTGAAACGAAATTAGAATCTAATCACTACAAGCAGGGTTTTAGAAGGGGTGATGACAATATCAGGAACGATATTGAACTTTAAAAGGGCTTCAAACAAATCCCCTATACCATAATCTTTATAATAATAGGTTGTCACATTATAAGTTGCACCCAGTGGAGTGCCTTCTAGCGACAATTGTCATTAATGCAACGTGTTGCTTTTTCTACCTATTTAAACCAAATTCAAAATGTTCCTGATGAACAACATAGGCAAATTCAGTAGAATTTGAGAAGACTTGACAGCACTATTAGATACAATATGCTAAAAAAGGCGAAATTGATACCTTTGATAACCACCTGTCGTCTGGCGTTCTATTTAGTTATGCACCCAAAGACTTCTGGGTATTCAAAATTGCGGCTTCCTAGTGCGTTCGGAAGGCGCTGAATAACCGTGGCAAAGTCGATCTGTGACTAAAAGAAGGACACTACGAGGCATTTTGTTTGTCAGTAATGGAAGTTTATTAATTTTTCTTGTATACGCCGCGACACTGGAGGTGTTCCATGAGCGCGTAAATGAGAAAATCTCTACATTTTGGGCACTGCCCTCCCTCCCACGACATGAATACCGGTACGAAAACAGATGCTATCCACCACTTAACCCTACCTAGACCGGGCTTTTTTTGACAGTGGGGGGACGGGGGGGGCTCTTTTACCCCCCCCCCTAAGAACTCGCGAACGGTATGTCGTATGACCACCCAAATTTCAGAGAATGGTGTACTAGTAAAAATTTATCATATCTACAATTTTTATGTCGTTATGACGTAATATGACGTCATTATGACGTCCTTAATGTAATTTTATTGCCCAAAACCGTCTAAATAGGTTTTTCCCTGAAAACTAAATGGTATTCAACATAACTGTACCAAAAGTGTTTATGACAGAATATTATGGTGTACTAAGTCTTAAGTTGCCCATAGCAACACCGGTGACGTCATAAAATGACGTCATGAATATTTAAGATATCCGCCATCTTGGATCATCAATCTTGAATTTTCAAAAATAGTTTTTTTCATGATAAAGCCTAAAATACATTGTAAACATACTAAAGACCTTCATTTAAACCTTTTTTGAAAAAAAATGGAAGTATTAATGAAAATTTAAAAGAAAATAACCTGTATATACCTGTTCTAATGATATGGTCCGCCATCTTGGATTTTGGCCAATGGCGTCATCAAATTAGCATAAATTATGCATATTTAATGATAAAATTTACATAAAATTATATGGGATGTTATTAATATTAGAAACCATGATTAGAAATTCTAATGTTGAAACAAAAAGTACTAAATTTAGCAAAAAAATGCCTGTCAGAAACCCGTTGCCATGGCAACACAAAAAATTATTATCTTATTCCAATGATAGAGAATTGTTGCCAACAATATTCTAGGAAAAGTAACCAAGTTTGGCCGTTCTACGGCTAGCCGTTCAGACGCTAGGTGACATCAAAGTTGCCGCGGGCACTTTTAGCCTCCCCCCCCCCCGGTCTAGGTAGGGTTAAAAATCAAGACCATGGCATGCCCAGGACAAAAGAAACAAAAAAAAAAAACGGAAGTTCTGCTGCAGTACCAAGGTCATCCACCAGGAGGCCCATATTGGACTTTGACCTTTGTCTTTCCAAGACTTACCATCATACCAAATATCATCACAATCCATAAAGGCGTTCTGAAGTTATGCTGACTACAAATGTGCGGAAACACACACAGACAGACAGACACACACACACACACACATACATACATACATACATACAGACACGCCAAAAACAATAGCCCCATTTTTCATGGAGGTAATGATTGTCAAAATGTTACAGTTTGTATCTGAGTGTATATCAGGTGATCCTCTAAGTGAAATGTTACGTAGAAATTGTTCAGACATGTTGTGTACATCAAAGATAGAGCCTACCAAGTTCTGTACATTGCTGAGTAGGGTGGCTCTTTGCCGATTATATACTTGGCAGTGTAACAGAAAATGTATGGCGCTTTCACAACGAGACCCGCAGATACAAGATGCACTAGATAAACTGTGGTTAAGACTTCAGACTTAAGTTAACAACAATTTACTAGTAGTAGAATTACAGTTCACTCACATAAGTACACATTAAATTAACGTATTAAAATAACAGAGTATTATAAGATTTAAATGACACAGTATTAAAATCTTGTTAAAACGCTTTAAATTTAATCGATTAAAAGTCAATATCAATATTGCACATTAAAAGTAAATGTCAATATTGCACATAGTACATTCAGTGGAGCGAGGAGTTTAGCAGTCTGACAATGTGGGGAATGCTGCTATTGTAGAAGCGTACAGTTCTAGCACTGACAGAGTCCAGGTTGTTACATGTTCGAGTCTGGCGACCACTGATCTCCATACGGGACGGGGGGAGCCATTCACGGAAGGAGGGGGAGCTCAAAAGTCTGCACCCGAACTTCCTGCTGAGCTGATCGCGTCTGGACTCCAGTGTGGGAAGGTTGAGCTGGGCGCAAGCTTCTGAGTAACTGGTATACTGAGTCCCCAGTATTGTGTGGCACGCTCAACGCTGGATGTTCTCAAGTTGTTTAGTCTGGGTTCTGGTGAGGCCTGGGCTCCAGACAGGTGCAGCATATTCCACCAGCGGTCGCACATAACAGGTGTACACGGTGAGCAGGTCTTTTGGGGGAAAGGCGGAACTTCTTTAGTCGTCTTAGGAGAAAGAGACGCTTTGAGCCCTGTTTGGTGACGTGATTAACATGTGAGTCCGCTTGTACCCACACTCACAACAGTTTGGCAACGCTAACGACCTGTCATTGAGCTGTCCGTGGTCCAACGATCAAGTCCATTCAGGTATCCCTGTAGATGCGAGGGTTCACGTAGGAGCCTGCTCTCTACGAGCGTGAGGTCGTCTACGAATTTCCAGTTGTTTGCCCTCGACTCCTTTGTGGCATTATTGATTAGGCAATAAATATGATGGGTGCCAATACTGTCCCTTGTGGTAGGCCGCATGTGAGTTCTTTCCATTCAGAGTAGGCGTTCTGGTAGAGTACGCGTTGTTTTCTGCCGGATAGGAAGTCGCATATCCGTAGTAAACACGACGCTCGGCAGCCCAGATCGAGTAGTCTCGTTATTGCGGTGGTATGATCTACCCGATCTTTCCAGTATAAATAAAGTGTATTGATTGATTGATTGATTGAAGACGCGTGATATATGAGGAGGGCGCAGGTGTACCTGGGGCCTTGGCTATAATATGGGTAAGGGGGGGGGGTATACTGACTTAACTAAGTGCTTCTTATAAATGAAAAATTAAGGGATCGAACAGCTACATCAAGACCATTCCAGTGATGCAATGCATATGGACTGAAAGACTTTTTATACCTAGTTGTGAGGCACACGGTAGCCGTAGATTGGATCTATTACGTAGATAGTACGAAGTCGTAGAAGAAACTTCGGGAAAAATCAGGTCCCTCAGATACGAGTATGGCCATGGATTACATGTACTTCGCACAATATAATCAATGAGAACATGGCGACGGTCAGAGAGTCTCTCACAACCTAAGTCAACAAGGAGTGAGGAGTGAAGACCCTCTGACTGCCGCTGAAACTGTAAGTTCACATTCATATCGGACTCGATATAATTGTTGAGAATCGTATAAAGTGCATCCACGCCATAGAATGTCAGCATATTCAAGAAGAGGTCGGACGTACAACAAGTACAGTACGTGGTAGTCTAAATTTCAATTTGTTAAAAATGGACACTATTATTTAGATACATTAGATCATGTGTGATGTTTGATTTTTCCATGACGTGGTGGAAATAAGTAACATTCCTATATGCTTGTGAACTTTAAAAGATTTAAAGTCGGGAGGATTAGCTACAATGTTGATCTGTCTAAAGGGGCCGATCGCGACCGAGGTGGTTTTAACTCTTCATCTTGTATATTGCTTTGATTGTTTTGTCAATCCAATAAAGATGATGTCAAACACACTGGAATGATTTCTAAGCCCTGCTTGTTAATTGAATTTACCCGTTTCTGGGATCCAAGACCAGGTGCCTGGCGGAGCCTTGTGATGTCAGAAGTGCAAACGATCTGACAAAAGATCCGTCCTTCCGGGCTACTGAGATGCGTCCGTCAAGTTTGCTCCAGTACACATTCCCACCAGCATGGTCCAATCTTAGACACCACACGCGTGCTACATTTAACAACAGATGGAGATATCGTCATGTGTTGCAGTCAGTAAATGAGAACAAAATGGAGGGGGGATGTATTTTTACTCAAATTGCGTTGAAAACTTTGAAGATTTCACAAATAGTGACATTTTACTTTAAGCTTGAAGGTGGATGTTTTAAACTGACCAAAACAGAAAGGAAGTGATTTCCCTTGCAATTTTAGCCTACAATGATGCCCCTGTATTACAAGCGTATACATTGTACATGTGGAATTCCGTAAGACATACTGAACAACGATAGTCAGTAACAAGACATGGATTGATGAATATCACCCACCACTATCAATGGTCTCCTGCCCACCTCCATCACGACGAGCCCGTTCGATGCCTTCACGAGTTGCCCTGTACATGAAGTCAGTCTTAGGGTCGTAGTCCACTGAGTCGTCCCACCCAGATGACATCTGGACCTTTGACCCGTCCTTTACTTGAAATATTCCAACCGCGGTAGCAACCAACAGGAAAGGTTCTCCTATTTCTTTTATGAAAGTAAACACGGAAAATCGTATTTGCTGTTGTTTACAAACGTATGAGGTTCACTTTGCCATTGCATGTATACATGTCGGTTTGTAAATTATTATCTTACGAAAATTTGAAATATTTTGGACGTTTTTACAGAATCATTTTAAATAAAATGTTTTTCATATGTTTGTAAGCATATGTAATTGGGCATGTGTTCATGTGTTTATATGTTTATAAAATATGAAGTTTTATGCAATTACATATTGTAAAGATCAGATTGTAAACATATTCTCCCAAAAATTCGATCATGTCGGTCGTCTATACAGAATTTTTGTATTTAAGATGTTGTAAATATGTTTGTAGGTAACGTTATATGTAATTAATGAAAAGATGATTAAACAATCTACGCTTCTGCAACTTTTAAAAATGAACGTACCTGTACACTCCACGCCTGCAGCTTGGTCGTGGCTACAGTTTAGATCGTTTATCGTCCACCCTGGGTACGAGCAGTTGAACAGGCTATTCTCGTCCCCATTACAGCGTAGGTCATCCATGTAGATTGGCCCTCTTCCTGTAAAGAAACGACACCAATCATATCAGGCAACATTGAGATATGGCGAAGGGATAGTTATGGAATCCATGAATTTTAATGGTTGTGGTACAATGTAAAACGTCATTCCAACACAAAGATTACACAAAGATACAATTTTCAACGACAACTGCACTGTCGCCTTCATCGGGATAATGAATGACCAATCACAAAAATGTAATCTCGCGGGGGTTATGGTTACAGACACGAGTGGTAATGTTCGACACTACTGATCACAACAATGGACTCCGCCAGGGGTCCAGGTCACCGTAGGTGACCACACCCCCGTCAGGGGGTGTCAGAGGTCACCGTCAGGTGACCTCACCCGTCAGGGGTGTGGCACCCGTCAGGGTGTGGCAGGTCACCGAAGGTGTCCTCTGGGAGGAGATGATGTAGGTGAAAAGTAAGTAGTCTTGGCAAGGAATGTGTGTTGTTGAAGAAAAAATAGTATGATAACTTTGAAAGTTTATTTGAAAGCTTTATTACATATATGTTCAAATCTGAATCTGACGATCATCGCGTACTGACGGCTTGGTGGTAGACAATTTAGTCAATCGCACAGTATAAGGTAAGACATAGATAAAAACTAGAAAAAAAAGTTACGTAGTATATCTAAGTCAGATCTTGATCTTAACATTAAGGAAATCGACTGTTTGTATACCTTTGTAGTGCCAGTTGCAGATCTCTCCTAGTAGCGTTTTCCCCGGTAAAAACGTTTTAGAAGATATCATTTTAAGCTGCCTACATGAAATGTATGTCATTCCACTAGAGTTCCTACAACGCAAATGTTGTCTGGGAAAACCTTGTCGGATTGGTTTGGTAGACAACTCATGATTCTGTTTTCTGGGTTCTTCCAATCAGATGTCTGTATTTTAGGTGTTCATGACAACATGCCCATATATGTGAGAAAACCTGTTGGATGACTGAGAACGCATGTTGTATGAGATAGTTGTCTGTCCAGAGGGGCGTGGCAGGTCACCGAGGGTGTCCTCTGGGGAGGAGATGACGTAGCGGAAAAGTAAGTAGTCTTAAGATGCATTATGAATTAAGGTTGTAGTCTATCGTAGACATGCCTGGGCAAAGCCTAATCCTTGCTTTCCTGTTGGCTGCCATTTGTGAGAGTACGATATAAAGGGTGACGGTTCGTCTCACTGTTACCATTGCACGGATCTGAGAGCAGCAGCAGCGTCGGCAGAAGCAGCACCATCGCAGTATCATCATGACAGGAGACCTTGTGACCGAATTGATGGCAGAAAGTCAGCAGACTTCAGTCATGTCTGATCCTCAAGATGCACGGAAAGGCCGCAGGAAGAGAAAGTCTCAGACCGTCAGCGACCCACGAGCCAAGCGATCCCTGAGTGTATCGTCTGTGTATCACTCATCTGCCAGCAGTAGCGACGACAACTCCTCGAACGATATGCTTCCTCCTACCGAGACTCACGAGGCGAAGTCTGCGGTTAGCGGACTAACTGACATACCGCAGCCTTGTTTCTACACTCCGCAGCAGAAAATGCCTGGAACGAGCGCAGCCCCTTCAGCACCGTGCAAGGTGAAGTCTGAAGAAGTGCGTCTACCGTTGGGCGACGACGTGTTCCTTACTGTGGGAAAGTTTCGGGAGTATCCCATAGTAAATGTTAGAAGATACTATCGCCCAGACCCCAAAGATGTGAACAAGCTGAGGCCCGGGAAGCAAGGCCTTGCACTGACACCAAAACAGTGGACCAAGCTGAAAGAGCAGCCGCTGCTGGGAGCGATCCTAGACGCAACATACCACGCCATGCCCTACGACGTTGGGGCGTTCCAGCCGAAAATGTACGACCTGGGATCTGAAAAGTACGTGACGGTTCAGATCCTGCAAGGGCAGCCTTCCGTGACCCTGCACCAGCACTATAGGCCATACGGAGCCCCAGACACCGACCCTTTGATGAAGCGAGGCATCGAGTTAACAATTCCGCAATGGGAAGACCTTGAAAGCAAGATGGAAACGGTTGACAAACTGTTGGAGGCTATGGAGAACGGAAAGAAGGCAACTGACAAAGATGTCATACAGTCAGCTGTTGTGTATTGAAAAATCGAAAAATGAATAAAGCTTCCTGGTGGTTGGACACAGGCAAAGATCTTACACTCTTGTTTGTATGTTTATCTCTGTGTGTCTGTAAGAATGATGAGTCTGGGCAAGTCTGTCAGTGTGGGTGTGTCCGTTATGACGTCACTGGGGCAAGTGTGGGCAAGTCTGTTTAGAAGGGTGTGTCTGTGATGACGTCACTGACTGGTCTGGGCATGTTTGCAATACTTGTATTTGATTGGACGACACCTTTGAGTAGTCTATTAAGACAGTACATAAAACTTAACACAGCCATAATATATCACATTGAGAGAAGACGATCATCCCTACAACATGGCCTGTGCAGGAGAAATCAACAACAACGATATGTCGGGAGTGTATCCTGATGTACAGACTCTTTGCGAAGTGGTCCAAGACATGTGTGATTATGGGTATACCAAACTGTGTCTGCGAATGGTGATGGATGACTGCTATGGCTGTCAGGTCAACCATCCCTCACAGCGTAACCATCCCTGTCTCTACATGGACGAAGAAGATATGAGAGAATATAAGCAGCGCAGTCTGGTCTGTGTGGATTTCAAGAAAGTGTACGAAGACTTCGTAGACTGCATGAAGCGGACGGGTCTGATGTCTAATATGCCATCAGAAAACAACCTGCGCATGAAGTTTGACCAGTGGTACAAACAGTGTGAAGAAGAAATCAATCGAGCTGCTGACATGGAAGTTGATCACCAGACTGGTCGAGCTCCTGATGCCGTCGACGGTACTGTAGACATGCAGGCTGAACATCTAACTGGTGACGGATCCCAGCACGTCCGCGCCCTGATTAGGGATATCGTAGTCAACATGATGGAAAACACTAAAGAGACAGCGGTCTGAAACTCTACGAGCCAAGAGTCGATCTGTGATACTTGAAAACCATGTTGTTTTGAATAAAAATTGTTCCGAGATTGAAGAAAATTGCGTCTGTCGTTTCTAGAATTGTGTGTGTGTATGTGTGTGTGTGTGTGTGTGTGTGTGTGTGTGTGTGTGTGTGTGTGTGTGTGTGTGTATAAAGTAGGCTATCCCTAGAATTATTAGCACATTTGTTAAGAAATATTGAGTCGAGGATAGACATGGGGTGTGTCGTGTCGTCAAACATGATGTCGGGGGTACTGTGTAGTGTGCAGTACGTGTGTACCTGTATTGGCGAGCTGCTGTGTGACTATGTAAGAGCATTGAAAGGACGGTGGTTTACGCCAGGGACAAACCGACAGATGTACAGAACCCGATGTATGCAGGACCTTCGAACTGTATAAAGTACTGAATCCTTTTGAATCACCAACCATTTTGTTAACACTACGAGTTGTGTGAAGACATGGGTTGTCTCTCTAATAGTCTTATATCGGGAAAGAAATTGAGATGTTTGGTAAACCGCATACAGTGTGGGTGTGCCTGTGCAGGGGTGCGCTTGTGTGTTGTTCTTAACAGAGGGAAATGGTCTCATCGTCGGGGAAAAAGAAGCGAGGCAGGCGCCCCAAACACACCTACAAGCCAGGGAAATGGCAGAGAGTCCTTCACAGAGCATACTTTGATCCTAGACATCCTGGAGGATATGGGGGTGTTGAACGATTGTACCTCACAGTCGGAAAGAAAAACGGAATAAGTAGGAAACAAGTAAAAGAATGGCTCAGCACCCAAGACGCGTACACGCTACACAAGCCAGTAAGGCGTCGATTCAGGAGAAACCGTGTGATAGTGGGAAAAATCGATGATAAGTGGGAAGCTGACCTTGTTGATATACCTAGCCTGACAAAGTACAATGACGGCTATAGGTATATTTTGACATGTATTGACGTGTTCTCAAAACATGCCTGGGCCGTTCCTATGCAAAATAAGAAAGGCACTACTCTGGTGGAAGCATTTCAGACGATTATGGACGACGGAAGAAAACCATGGCGGTTGCAAACCGATCAGGGTAAGGAATTCCTTAATCGGAACTTTCAAGCTCTCCTGAAAGATGAAGACATCGAATTCTTCACCACGTTTAACGAAGAGACAAAGGCGAGTGTTGTGGAACGCTTCAATCGCACGCTGAAGACACGGATGTGGAAATACTTTACGGCCTCCAACACGTATCGTTATGTGGACGTCCTTGACGATCTCATGTGGTCGTACAACAATTCTTACCACCGTAGTATCAAGATGACTCCCCTGGAAGTGAACAAGAACAACCAACGCCTGGTATGGCACACTCTATACGGTACAGAGAAAACCCTCAAATCTGTCAGCTTTAAGTTTGAGCTGGGGGATAAGGTTAGGATTAGCAAAACTAAAATGAAATTTGATAAGGTATACACACCGAATTTTTCTCGAGAAATATTCACAGTTTCCAAACGCATTGCACGAATACCTCCTGTGTACAGGGTGACGAATTACCACGGGGACGAGTTGCAAGGTGTCTTTTACGAACAGGAACTGCAAAAAGTCACCAAGACGGACGACGTCTATCTGGTGGAGAAAATCATTAAAAGTCGGAAGCGCGGTGGGAAAACGGAACATTTGGTTAAGTGGAAAGGATACCCGAGCACATTCAACAACTGGGTGAGAGAGGAGGACGTCTCTTCAGCGTGATTAAAAACAACATCCCCATACAGTCTTCAAGTAGTCGCGACTTTACATCCAACATGTCAGCATCTTTTTACGTGACGCTACCAAGCGATGGATCGACAGATGTATTCCCTGAAAACACTCGTACAAACTACAAAATCAGACTTGCTAACCACATTGAATTAACTGGAGACTGGGAAGTGGCCTTAGTCGAGATTCAGTATCCGCACTCGTGGAATAATGTCTCAGACGGTCAGAATTCGCTGGCGTTCAGGGAAATTGAGGGAGAAGTCTTTGCGCCTGAAAAAAATTCTTTCTTTAAAATACCGCCTGGACATTATTGTGATATCATGCAACTTGTACAGGCTTTGAATACTGCTGCTTCTGCACAATATCCGCAAATCGACGCACAGTTTTCGACATTCAGTTACAGTAAGACGGACAAACGCGTAACAATGTCACTACCCCCAACGGTAGTACCACCAAAGTTTGTACTGGTGGGTACTTTGGCTGAACAGTTGGGGTGGAGGGATCCGAAGCAGGCTGTGACGAGTTGGTGTAAGGCAGCGACACCGCCAGACATCAACTTAGGACTACACTCTTTGTACATTTATTGTAACCTGATTGAAGATCGTTTGGTGGGGGGAGTTTAAGTTCCTCTTCTACGCATTGTCAAAGTCCAGGGACAGGACGGAGAGGTGGTCGATCATGCCATTCGCACACCACACTACATGCCGCTGGCAAGGAAACGTTTTGAATCCGTGGAGATAGATATAAGAGACGACAACGGGAATTTTATCCCATTTCAGCTTGGGAGAGTGATAGCGACACTTCATTTCAGACAGAGAAGGTCTGCGTACTTTTCTTGAACCTATCACCACAATGACTCAACGAGGCGGACAGCTACGTGTTTTCAGAGGAACCCAGCGCGGGTATGGGTTGGAAGGTATCTTTAGAGGACTTTTTAGAACGGCATTACCTCTACTGAAGCAAGGCGGTAAAGCTGTCGGTCGACAAGCACTGAAGAGCGGCATCAACTTTGCACAAGATGTGATAGAGGGGCATAATGTCAAAACGGCAGCCAGAAAACGAGCGGGAGAATTTGGACGCAACATGATAGCGCCAAAGGTCAACAAAACAAACAAGCAGGGTCCAAAACCCCGGAGGGCTACCCAGAACCCTGTTCGGAAACGCCCCATAAATACTCTGAGAAGAGGCAGGATCGTCAGTTCTAAGGGTCAGGCCACCAAGCGCAGACGTGTCTCCCGCGACATATTTGATTGAGAAAATTATCATGGCGCATCTCCACCCACTATCTGATAAGTGTACAAAATCGGAGCTGGATCTCTTCAACGTCCCACCAACACAGACAACGATTCAGGACGGTCGATGGATTGAATATCGTCCTGTTGCAAACTTGTCAGAATCCAGCCGTCTGTACATGCAATTAGCTCACTGGCATGATTTTAAAAATAAAGGTTATGATAATCATATTATATGTATAGCTTATTCAATGTATGGCTTCATAGTTTATGTGATTGTTAATAATTAAGGCCAAGTTGATTTGATTGTATGGATGGCATCTGTGCGCGCATCGGTTTTCGTTAATTTAAAGCTAAGTTTACGACAATGATACAAAACATCTGGAAACTAAGCAAACATACTCTGTAAATTTATTACTGTAATTCCCAATTTTTTTTCACTGTACCGCAACGTAACGCAAGCGGGAGGTCTATGTTCACGGTTTCACTGTAACCTCTGTACCGTGAACCTATTATTACAGTTAGGAAATAATTCCTGGACTTTCTTTTTCCTGCAACTGTCACCACCGTGAATATATAGTTCCGCGAACATGACCATGTTTCTCAGACCGTGAAAATTTTGCTACCGTTAGTAGTAGTTGCAATTTCGTCATTAGTAGTATTCAGATACCTGCAATATATAACTTGAGATTGAGATAAGTGTAAAGTAAAGCTGTCGAGATTTAAAGTGCTTGTCGTTGTATCTTTGTAAAAAAATAAGGGAGATAATGGCCAAGTGCCATTTTTGTAAATATCTGTCGAGATTCAAAAAGCTTGTCCTTGTATAATTGCAGTATGATTTATTCAGAATCTTCTATTTTTGTATAGGGAGGGAGATGGAGTGAAATATTACATTTGCTCCGAAGCAAATGTTGGCCTTTCTAGTTGTACATTCGTTCCCCGCTGGGCTAAATACAGGTCGCACATTGACAGTCATTATTATGTACATTACTCCCCCCGGGGGACAATAGTGACTCCTAAAGCAATGAAGGCACTTTTCAAACTCAAGGCTCTCATATTCTCTAACAAATATTTCAGTCAATCTAGGTAAGAGTCCTTTTTGACAAATTTGTGAAGCCCATTTTCATGTATGGGTCGGAAATCACATGTTTTGATTCTACCTCCAAAACTATAAAAATTATTGCTTCTCATTCTGGAAGCATTTACGAATCTTCTCCAAAGAAAGTTTTTTCTACCTTACTAAACATGCTCAAT